AAGAAACAGAAACATGAAAAAAAAAAAAAAGAAAAAAAAAAAAAAAAAAAAAAAAAAAAAAAAAAACACTTCGGAACAAAATAGGGCGTTTTTTCCTGGTGTACTGCCAAAACACACCACAAAGAAGGACGACACTGGAAACAAGTCTTCAGACACAGTGGATTATCCTTGGTGTTTTCACACCAAAGACTACTCCTTACTGACCATGAGAAAAAGGAACAGTGATTCAAAATCGAACTGATTTCCTGTGACGAATAATATAACCACAGGCGCGCATTGCGTCGAATTTAAATCCCGGATGCGATTAGAAACCAGTAACGAGCCTGACGTCACAATTGGTGTCTTACTATGAATTGGTAGAAACGTTATGACATAATCACGTTAAATACTTAGTGATCTCTTAGTGATATATTTTTTATATTAATCATTTTCAAGCATATCATGCAAAAACCGACAACAATAAAATAATTACCTTATTTGAGGTAATGTCTGCGAATTCACAAATTATTTCAACTCCTTCCAAGTATTCCGCATCAACTGCTCGAAGCAAGGAATCTCTGACATTAACTTTGTAATCAATCAGTATCTTCAGCATCTCTAGAGAAAGAAAATCCAATGACAGCAGTTTATAACAAGTGTCTGAGGTGTACCCCGGGAATAGGGACGATACTATTTTTACTATAATGTTGACCGCCATGAGAATTCCTGTCAATATATAAGGCATATTAAATACTTTGTTCGTCTCCATTGTTATAAATATTTACTGATTAATGTGGTGTTGTTTATTGTATGAAATATAATCATCTGATACGTAATTAACTTTAACATGTGGGTGAGAGGTGGATTGTGTGATAAAGTACAACACAATAACATATACAACTAATTTTACATATACCTATATAATTTGAACACTTGTGGGTCACCACCTATAAAGTTAGTTCTGACTAACTATTCTAACTAATAATAAGTATAATAATAATAATAATAATAAGATGATAATGATAATAATGATTACAATAATGCTGATACCGATGGTGATGATAATATTGATTCTGATGTTGTTGATGCTAGTACGGATACTGCTTACCATAATGCTGACAATGATGTTGACGAATGCTGATGCTAATGTTGAATCTGATGTTAATACTTGTGCTGATGTTGATTATTATTATTATTATTATTATTATTATTATTATTATTATTATTATTATTATTATTATTAATATTATCGAGTATTATTATTATTATTATTATTATTATTATTATTATTATTATTATTATTATTATTATTATTATATTTGGCACAGCGGGAACGGGTTTGGTTTCCCAAACTCGAGGTCGGGGTTTCAATCCCTCGCTGTGCATTTCGCTTGTGACCTTGAGCAAGACACTTTATCTGCATTGCTTCTCTTCACCCAGGAGGAGTATAAATGGGAACCTGGTGGGGTTACCTCCTCCTGCGCTGATTACCAGCAGCAACACTTAGCATGTGGACCCAATGACCAGGGAAAAGAACTGCGCTTTATAACCGCAAGGAAGAGGCGCATTATAAATGACCGTACCAATACCAATATTCTCAAATTGAGTACCGGTATGCTCTTCTATTCAGTATTGGCAATTTTAGGTATTATTACATTCTTAACATGCAAAAAAGAATAATTATATATTATATAATATTGAATTATAATTATTAATTTCATTCCGTCATTACAGCGTCAGCATTGAATGAAAATGTAAGACAAGTATTATTAGAGTAACAAGAAACACACTTAAAAATCAAATGAGATTTTATTAACATAACTTAAAGCAACAAAAACATACTCGAAAACAAAAAACACCATTTTAATTAATCAAGGACTGACTTTAGTAATAGAACAATGCACTTTCCCAAGCAATATCATCGGCGATAGTCACATTGTCTATGAACACGGCCATGTATAAATAATATAACTGGTTATATATCTACTTAGGAGGCCATTATTTAAAGTATAGTACTTTTCTTGAGGACTTCATTTTAAATTAAGGAATCAAAGAGTTTCTGAAAAGCACGACTTCTATTTAATATTAAATCTGTTAATCTGACGGATTGTAAAGCTTTCAGTTACTGTCAGTTATAATCGATTGGTTTAAGATGATTGTTGACTTTAGAACTGAAAGCGTACATTATCACTTGTATTTATATCGAGTTGAGGTTTTTAAATCAGCTAACATCTTAATTTTGTTCACCGCGACCTGGATAAAATGTATTTTTATCCATTGTGATGTTGTTTTATAATCCACCTGTACCAAACAGGATGCATAACGCCAAATCAAATAATAATTATACTGATGATGACGATGATGATGATGATGATCATCATCATCATCATCATAATGATGATTATAATGGTAGATGGATTGGTTGGGCAATCCATGTCAAAATCAACTTGTTCGGTTTTTCACCTTTTTTTCTAGTTTTAACAACACTACTTTTTAATTGTTGTTTTAAGTCATGTTTTACTCCAAAGTATTTTACGGTGTATATGCAATTTTTTTTTAAGATTTTAGATAATGTTTAAACTTTTTCCAATGTTTTTACAATTTATTTAATGTACTGTTCTAAATTGTTCTCAGTTCCATGCATTTTTGCGACATTTGTTTTTATCTTTTTATAAATTTTATGAAGTTGCCAACTCTTTATTTTGATGTCTGTAATGAACAAGCACCACTTTGGATTTTAAATGCTATTGCTTGTTGAGAACGAATAAGGATACTACTTTTCATAGAATAGATGAATACGATGAAGCGTTGAACGGCTGATGATAAATTATGTTGTATATAATAATTACTATGTAACAGAATAATATGATGATCACTAATTTGCTTAGGGGAATACTGCAGCACTGCGTAAGATATCATCATCATCATTTTATAGTCTGCTAGTCTGCTAAGAGCAGGTTAATGCATCACAGGGAGTGTAACGTTCTTATTTGTGAAGTGGAAGAAAGTTCAGTATGGATATGACAGAAAAATATAAAAGATAACAAAGGTTATCAGAATTTAAAAACAACTTGGAAAGTAGATAAAACAATGTTGGTACTGTGGCTATGTGTAAGCAACATAGGAATAGAACAAGTAAATTTTATAATTTCAGGAGTTTGATAACAAACAAAAATTAGATGCGAGAACGACAAAGGAATTGGAATTGCCAAGACCACATGGTGGAAAATATGAGAGGTTAACAGGTAACACAAGGCAAGAAAAGATGATGACGCTTTCATGTTAATATTTTTAAAAAATACCGTAAAATGATGTGCTTTCAAAATAGCATCCAACAGCTAGCGTAATCCGCATCTTAAGGGCTTCATACATAATGTGATGTAATCTATTTTATTCAGTTTCATAATTTAGCCTTGTTAATAGCGAACTATTATTTCCTACTGCCTACATACACACCCTGTCCTTGAAGTTGAAGTTAAGAAGACAAATATCCACTACCAACCCATCAGATAGTCATGACGACCAACGGCATTCCTCTCAAAGTTGTGGATCATTTTCAATGACTGGCTAAGCAATTCCATTTGTGTCTACTGGGCTAAAAAAGGCAAATGGACCGTCGCACAAATTCTTAAAAAGTGGCCAACAAGCCAAGCGGCAGGGTGCCGTAGCGCCCTAGTGTATTGGAGAAGGAAGGGGTGGCAGGCGGGAAAAAGAATTTCCAAGGAGTTATCGGTGCACGGAGCTAGGTAATTACAATCCGCAACGAGAAAAGGGGTCCGGTTATGATTCCACACGAGGAAATGCAATAGGTTGAAATTATTACGCCGAACGAGTGACACCAATTGGGGTGTACCTACGCCCAAAGAGTTTTTCCGCTGGTGTCGGAAAATTTATTTTTCTCTTGTACGCTCTTTAAGGGTGCCACTGATACAAAAGTGTTGTCTCCGAATTAATTAATTAATTAATTAATTAATTAATTAATTAATTAATAAACAGCACACATTCTAGCAGATACTGATGAGTTTAATTACCGTACTGTAGTATCCGTTGTTCCGTGAACTCCCCCAAACGCTCAGAGCAAGAATATTTACTCTATGATGAACTGTACTGAAGAACAAAACTTAGTGTATCACCAGTAAGTTTACAGTACTTTAAAATGGCGGATTCACTGGGAAGCCGGTCCGGTGCTCCTTACTTTTTTTAATTAAAATGTGAGAAATCTGATAGTCAATCTCTGGTATCTAAAGGCGCCATAGCCATAACATTTCAACTCAGTTCCATTTATGTTGGGGCTGAGGTAGTCTGGATCATGTTAGCTCCCTATCTGTGTCCTCTATTTCTATTCTCCTACTACCATTACTTAGAAACTATGAATTTTACATTTTTATTCCATTTTAAATCATCTTGCATCCAGTCACAAAGCATTTTCTTAGGGTGTCAATTGGACAGTTATTTATTGTGATGGAGTCAACAATAGGGGCCGATTTTAAGAAGCAGAATTGTTGTATTTTACACTTGGAGGGATGTTTCAACTTGTTTTGTTCTGACCGATTACAGACTACATTAAGATGTGTTTACATATATCGTTTTCAGGTAAATTTCACCCAGACTATGACATCAACTTCTAAATTGTAATACATCATTGATTAAAACTAGGAATATGATTGGAAGTAGTGTTGTCCATTGTGAATACCACACGTTAGATGAACACTAATTCACTTTGACACACCAATACGTCTTGGCCCCATATTACAAATAAACCGAACTGCCATATTTTGCGTAACAACAACTTCCTTTTTGTGTACAATGAGCAGAGAGTAAGGGCAAGAAAAAAAGATCTGTCTCCAGTTTTTGTCTTAGCCGTCGGTTACCTGAAATGTTTTATTCAGCTAAACACCCAATAAGCTTAAGCCTATACAATCGCTATAGTCCTATTTATTCATATATTTACCGTTACATACCACTGTGAAAAGTTGAACTAATTTAGCTTCTTTTTCTATCTAAGTACAGTTTCAATATTCCCAATATATTGCGACAATTTATTTTCTTTAAGCCAGTTATTTGTATGAGTAGGCCTATAGCTCATTATTTAATAATGAAAGCAATTTGATCAGGATCTTTGTTATCTACGACTAGAGCAGTATCGTCTATATACAAGAGCATATATACAAGAGCATAGCTCAGTCTGGTGGTAGCCAATCCAATCCACTTACATTAACTGGTAGTAGCCATGTATTGTGTGCGTGGAGATCTCCTGGTCCCCGGTTCAATTCCCATCGCTTCTCTCCTTGCTTTCCTCCTTGAATGCGTTAATGGACGCAGACACTCTTCTGAAATAGTAAGGGATTGTCTTCTACTGCACTGTCCAATCACTATCAGGACCCAACTGGAAGTAAGTCTTCTTCGGACTTTCGTGGGCGGTAATCCTTGGTGTTTACACCGAATAAATCCAACTCAATCTCTTTACACTAATTGGGATATCATCTATATAACATAGGCCTATGAATAATAATGGGCCTAGTCCAGTGTACTGCCTTGCGGTACGTTGCATGAAAGGCTTTGACATTACTTAATTTAAACTTCTCTTGATAGGATCGAACCAGCTAACATTACCCACTCTCATCAACGTGTATATGCATCCTCAATTAAAATGTACCTATATAAATACTCTGTATATATTTTCTAATGTTAAGCCAAATATTATGATAATTCTGAATAATTAAAATGCTCATGTAAAACGCAAATTGTTCTTTCACGTTCAAAAGCAATAGGCATATGCGCATAGTTATCAACCCGAGAGATTTGAAATGCGTGAATGACTGCACCAGTTGCCTGGAGGGGGCGGGGGGGTTCGTTTCGACGGTCTGAGCATTTTAAAGCTTATTCAAGGAGTTGGAGTTGTTTGTTGACAAGACAATACGGTACCGGGTACAAAATATTTTTATTAAAGCCACGTATAATTTGAGTTTCAAAGTATGTTTAATATACGCACCCAAACTATGTACATACACATTTCAATAATTAAACAAACAAAAAATGAATTGGCATATAGTGATTAATTTTTAGTAACGCGTAAGTAAAACGTATTTACGTTACTGTACTTTACTGACTGCGTGCGTGTTTGATGCTAACTGACAACTGCAGTTTCAGTCACTGCATGACCGTTTTTATATTTTTAATAAAACCAATTTCTTCTAATTTTCAATGCATTTTCCCCTCGTGATAATTCGTTATCAAGCATAGACTTGTGCTAAATGAGTGACAAATTTATGATCACGCACGTGTTTGTGCAAAATGCGTGTTTCATCCAATATCACTTTGAAATGCGGGACCGTCCCGCACGATGCGAGACGGTTGGTAACTATGTTTGCGGTTTGAAATGTCATCATGGTCAATACATTCACTTCTTGGCACGTATAACCAAGACCAGACAAATATAATGGAGTGGTTATTCGATTAGTTTATAGTAACACATTAACTATTAATACGTTCCTTACAAGTTGATTACGTTATAATCTATAAATCATCCGCCCGCGCGTAAAGGACACTCTAGCTTGATGCTATCATAATTCAGAGTCAGAAGCCAAATTCTGATTTAAAAAGTAAACTGAATTAAATATTGTAAAAGACAATCAATCAACTGATTTTTATTCATTCTTTTATTTCTTATAAATACGATACTCTTTCCCACTAAGAAAATTAAAGTAGGGATATTTCGTGATCGTTTTTATCAGTGTGTTCTATTAGTGTAATGTATTCTAAACACGCCGTGTATGTCTCAGATAGATAATTACAGTAACCAGTCATTGTATTGGCCCAGTAGATATAAAACATGTTTTGCACAATTAATACACGGACTTCCACGTTAAATAGGTTCAGTCCAAACGCGTATTGGAAGAAGTGCATCACTGAAAGACGTGGGAATGAAATCATAATTTTATTAGTTTTTCTTTCATTCGCAACCATATCTTATTTATAATGTATACGGTATTAAACAGAGGTATACAATGAATAAAAAATAGATTTGGTGGAATTAGATGTTTAACGCAAGAGTGCAATTTGTAATACAGATCGTTTAATGGATCATCACCCGATCCTTTTGCAATTTTCATATCTATCTTCACTTAGATCATTTTCATTGGTGGGCTTATATTATTTTATTGTTTTAATAAATGCTGCGATTAATCCTACTAGACAGTTAACATTACATAAAACGGTATATTGCCCTGATTCTTAATAAGAATGATATGAGGTTGGCGAGAGTGATTGTTTAAATGACATAAAGTGTATACGGTAGGTAATAATGGTTGTGATAATGAAGAAGAGGAGAAGGAAGAAGAAGGTGAAGACGAAGATGGTGGTGATTATGATAATGACGACGAAGATAGTAATAGTAACAGTAAATAACAATAGTAATATTAATAAAAAATAATAATAACAATATCATTATTATTAATTACGCCTATAATATAAATATTATTAATTACAATGATATTAAAAACTCATTGTTATTATCACGGTATACGAATATGTGTTTTCAAATATTATTTGAAAACAAGTACAGACAAATATGAAAGAAACTATACAGTATATAAAGAAACGTCATCATACCAGTATTTCTCTTTTCAATGGCCAAGTCGATGGCGGAGTCGCCATTGTGGTCCAGACAGTCCTTGTCGAAAACTTTGATATTCTCTAGAGCAAATTCTGCAGCCTCACGATCACCCCTTTTAACAGCCTCCAGGTAAAGTCGATCCACTAGGCGATTCTTACGTTCTTTGCATGAACTCATTTCAAAATACAGTCACAGTTACAATGCGAAAACACAATGTGTAGTATCTAGTTTATTTGTACAAATGTTACCCCTATTATTATATACATTTTTTAATATCAGATTCAACTCTGCATTGGCCAGTGGCATTAGGTTTCCCGTTTTTCAAAAATGTGACAACATTTTTAACATATACTGGTTTTCCTCATTGACGAAAATGTCTTCAGTCGAAAACGTTATGTCCGAATAGCAACTGATGTATTGTTCACCACAAATATTAACTTCTTTTCATCTCCCTTTATACATTAAACATAAAAACGTATTAGTTCACACATGAGAAATATTCCAAAGTATAATTCCCAAACTACCCTGTTGGGTATAATTAAATTAAGATGAACAAATCTACTGATGTAGGTACCGTCTAGACGGATTACGATTTATGAATACGAATATCTATCAAATCTCCTTTATATAATGTTACAAATTACGACCATTACGTACAAATGAATCCGATGAGGCTATGTTCTTTTAGTCGAACATGGAACTGAAAATCCATATACAAAGTTTTTTGCATATATTCTACTTCCGTAAATCTCTCTTTTTGGAATAAATGACATTCCTTTCAACTTGATATTGTATATGCTTAATTCTACTCAATGTCTATCGTTGTATACTGATTATATATATGATTATTTTGGCAAAACTTCACATGGAATTATCAGTCAACTTGTATTTTGCGAAGAGATGATGATGGACGACTGGTAGCAGAATTATAAAATTTCTTTTAGACAATTCAAGCCAGTACCGTATGTCTACAAAATTTCCTCGTATAAAGACGTCAAACCTCGTTCGAGATTAGATGTTCTTTAAAAGTAGTAGCGTAACATTATTGGTAGAGTACTCACCTCATTGCTATTGTTGTCGTCAGCAATACAAGCGCGTAAAATGTGTGGGAAACTTCAACCTACCACCACCGTAGCTTTTGACAACCTGTAATTATCTGTCGGCTTTTGTGTCTTCGCAGCACGCGCGGATTTATGAATAACTGAACCTGCGCAAACGATTATTGTGAGGGGTGGTTCATTCGCAGAGACAATATAGATAGGCCTATAAATAATAAGCAATTAGTAGAGCTCCGCATAGTACACTATAGGAAAATTATAATACGAAGGTTAGATATAATGCTTGAAAAAATTTCCTGAGGGCCTGAAAGGCCCGAAAGAAATTTTTGAATGCATTAAATCTAACCTAAGTATATTAATTTTCCATTTACATCTACAAATATAAATACGCACACGTATACTGATAATATCACTATAGCAACCGATGACTGCTACAACAGTTGGTTTTAAAAAACTAAAATTAAAAGACGACGATTGACTTATAAAGCAATTAGTAGAGCATGCATCGTACACTAAAAGGAAAATTATTATACTTAGGTTAGATTTAATGCATTCAAAATTTTTTTCAAGCATTAAATCTAACCTTTGTATAATAATTTCCCTATAGTGTATTATGCGATGCTCTACTAATTTCTTACTATTGCAATATATATGCATCATATTTTCAAATGCGCTTTTTTTTTCATGGGCCTACATCTCGCGTGTTTCCTTTAATTACAGTAGTGTATTAGTTACAGTGTAAGCGGTCTACATCAACATAATGACGGCATTATACACCAGCTAGTAGAGTCATTTTCATTTGATCTGTGACTAATTTTAGGATACCTTTCTTTCTCGATGGATTTGGCAAGATGGACCAATTTAGATATTTATTTATTTTATTTCTCCCAGATATGGGGGAAAGTCCCGTTTGGGGGCGTTTTTCAAAATGACCGCCTGTTGATTTGGACGCTTGTATCTCGATAACCACTGGTCAGGGAGACTTGATTTTGGTCCCAAATTGTTCACAATATGCATGTTCCTATTTGTTACAACTTTTTATCCAAAAATGGCGGAAAGTGCGATTTTTGAAAGCTTGACCTTTGACCTTGTATTGTCATATCTCGGTAAATACTGGTCACAGAGACTCACAATTGATTGTGAATTGTTCAGTAGATTCATGTTTTTCATTTGCAAGGTCACCCTGCATCCATATGAGTGGATATAAACACCTCATATTACAGATATATTATCTAATAATGTCTATTTGTCTCTAGCCACATGCAAGCGCAGGCTGATCAAATCAATTAAAATTGAATGGCATATATTCAAAGTTGGGACCAGATCTATAAAGGTGAAAAACGCCAAGGTTTCTCAACAACGGATCGTCATATGGACAGTTGAAATCTTTTCTTAAATTTACCCCAGTTAATCAGATACATTAGATCTACGTATAAACAAAATTTTAGATTTGGTACTTAGCTCATGGCTAGATACTATGTTGAAAACACATATTTCAACATAGGAAATCATAAAAGTTCTTAAGAGTTGGGTCATTCCATGCCAACTCAACAAATGCATTACATCATGGGTCATAGATTTTTTTTTTTTTTTTTTTTTTTTTTTGGCACACTGACTCAGTGATATAGTGTAAACTGAAAACCTGAGCTTTTGAGACTACATTTTCATGTAGCGGCAGTTTAAAGTTAAGTGGGCGTGGCCCAAAATAAATATGAATATAATATGAATTCTAGGAAGTTTCTATTCATAAATCGAACATGAATATATTCATGAAACAGAAAATAATTTACCATATATTATTGGCCACAAAGAAATGATATGTGTCCAAGTGCTGTGACTTACTAATAATAAGGACCGTCACCCACAATACAAATTCGATGAGGTTATTGTAAGCCAGGTTGAAGTTGCCCATTAAGAATTAAACCAGAAATAACTTTAGATCAATAAATTTTAAATTCCTAGACAAATTAACAGGTCTATGACATAGATTTAGAAATTTAAAGCAAAATATTTATAAGAAAGTAGGGTATTATTGTTGATGATGTGTTAAAACATGTTTTTAAGGATTTGGAATCAGCAGTAAAAGGTGTCCTACACCACCATAAAGTGGTTGTATGATGATTATTAGCATATGAAAATCAAAGTTAATTTGAGGGACACCCCCTTTACGTCAAATTGCAGCTACGGAAAAAAATGAAAAACGAATTTGAGTCTCAAAATTTCAAGTTTTTCTATTCACAAGGCCGGAGGGTGCAAAAATTTAAAAATCTATGACCTGTAATGCTGTAGTAATGCATATTTTGTTGAGGGGCCACACCCCCCTAACCTCAAACTTCCGCTACAGGAAAACGAATGAATTGGCGAGTCTCAAAATTTCAGGTTTTTTAGTTCACATAGATATCTATATCACTGAGTCAGTGTGCAAAAAAAAAAATTAAAATCTATGACCCAAGGTCTAATGCATTTGTTGAGTTGGCATACAATGACTCAACTCTTCAAAACTTTCGTGATTTCTGATTGTGTTAAAATATGTGTAGTTTTCAACATAGTATCTAACCATGAAAGAGTTGAGTACCAAAGCTGAAATTTGGTTTATAGGTAGATCTACTATATATGATTAACTGGGATAAATTTAAGAAAAGATTTTAACTGTCCACATGACGATCCGTTGTTTTGAGAAACATAGGCGTTTTTCTCTTTTATAGATCTGGTCCCAAATTTGAATATATGCTATTCAATTTTAATTGATTTGATCAGCCTGCGCTTGCATGTAGCTAGAGACAACTACACATAGATAATATATCTGTAATATGAGGGGTATATACTCACTCACATGAACGCAGGGTGACCTCGGATATCACAAAAAAATTTACATCGTTAAACAAAGCGGCTGCAGATAACTTCAAAAGGAAAGAGATAACTGTTAATCTAAGGCCACATACTACACACAATTGTGAAATACTGTACGGTGAAAAATAAGTTAAAATACCAAGTTTGACCTTGATAGCTATTACCAATCCCGAGTTATAAGCTTCCAAAATTGAAGTAAATTGCGTTTGCACATCTTGAAGAACCACGCCCCTTTTTGAGGAGTCAATATCTCGGAAACTACATATCCTATAAGGCTAATTTTTTTTTTGTTGGTTTTTCGTATAGTGGATCATTTTTTTGGAATTTCATAAAAATCTGAGACGGTCATACAGGAATTTTTTTTTTTTTTTAATCTGTTTGATTTGACATGGAATGACCCTACAATAGGTCAAAGGTCAGAATGTACCATTTATGGTCACCAATTTTGAATATTTTTTTCATTAAGACGAATATAAACATGAATCTCCTGAACAATTTGCAATCAATTGTGAGTCTCTGTGACCAGTAGTTACCGAGATATGACAATACAAGGTAAAAGGTCAAGCTCTCAAAAATCGCATTTCCCTCCATTTTCATCCAAAAAGTTGTATTACAACGAATAGGAACATGCATATTGTGAACAATTTGAGACCAAAATAAAGTCTCTCTGACCAATGGTTATTGAGATACAAGCGTCCAAATCAACAGGCGGCCATTTTGAAAAACACCCCCAAACGGGACTTTCCCCCCATATCTTGGAGGTATATAGGAGCTATATTTTATAACTCTACTAAGCTTGTGTATAAACGATTACTGATCAATCACTATGGTTATATAAAATGAATACTGAACTCTCAAGTTTTGTTTATCGCTATAAGATAAAATGTCATTAAAAAAAAATCAATCGACCAAGCAAGTTGTATTAGAAACAACATGCTCAACTCAGTTAAAATACGATGAAATGGTGTGGACACACGTGACCGAACAACATGCTTGGGAGGATTACGAATGGGACAGACTGCCGTGCTATCGAGGGTTATTTACGAAATAGTGACGATGACATCGGCTTTTGCCATACACAGCATTGGTATACGGTTATAAATTTACTCACTGCGTTTGGTGATTGTATGGTGAACACAACGCCACGACGCGCGCGCAACGGATCGTTTCTAATGACGATTCGTTCAGATGCCGACAATCGTCGTACGACGCAGCCAGTGCCCGACTTTACACTTCAGGTGCATAATTTTACGGTGCCCGACCCGGGGTGCCCGATTTGCAAGTAACACCTCATTAGTACCATTATAAACGCTTCTAGTTGACATTTTTTACATTGACATGCGCATCAATTGATTCATTACTCAAGTATGTTTTTTACTGTTATGCGAAACTGGCGTGTGCACAACTGTTCAATTTTGCGCATAACTGCACTTACCTCTACCTAAGATAGCTTTATTATAAACATACCGTATGCATAAATTTGGGAATACTAGCAAATACCACACATTAGTTAAAAATATGAAATGGATACTGACATGCATCAGATATTCGCAATGAGTTCGTCATTTGCAGTAACAAAAAATGAAAATGTAATGTCGCGGATAGCGGCGTAGATGATATTAATATTATCAATGGTAGATCAATTATATTGATAAAAAAAAAAGTTTGCATAAACGATGATGATGATGATGATGGATCAAAATATTCGTCACCTTATTATTTCGTTCTTATTCAAAGGACTTCCGGGTTTATCTCTATTAAGACTATTCTATGCGTTATAACATTTATAAAGTATTTTCCTCTTTTGGATCTATGAAACAGTGTTTATATTAAAACTTATTAACTTTTTTTTAATCCACAATATTTATAAAATACGACAGCCTCTGCTCTGTTTTATTCTTCGATCGATCATCTTCAATTGATGCATATAATTAGATCATCTTGTTTTTAGCACTACTAGTCTGTTGTCTTATATCATTTTTTAACTTTGTCATTTTTGGGTAAATTCTTAGCAAACATGTCTAAAAATATCTATAAAAAAAATCATTGATTAAAAAAAATGGGTGCCAGTTTTTTTATTCACTTTTAGGGCCTTAAGTTTGAATTTCAAAATGGTCCCTGCCATGTTTTTTTAAATTACAAATAGATCGTCATATATCATACAATAGTCATTTTATTTTATCTGATATCATATAAAGGGATCAGTGATGCATTGGGGAAAAATAAGAGCACAAGAAATAACCCCCTCC